AAACAAACAAACAACAACAACAAAAATAATTATTATTGCTAACCCCTAACCCCTCTCTCTTACTGTTGACTGGTTTTCATAAATATTATGTATGTGTATATGTACTATGTATCTACAATTATTTCCATCAATGTAAATGTTATGGCTATTTTTGAAAATTATTAAACATTTTCTGTGGTATTGTCTGCAATGGAAAAAGAAAGAAACAGGAAATTAATGAGGCTAAATAAAACGTGAACACATCTCATTTTTTAAGATTTATTTTTAATTGTGTTTGTGTCTGGGAGCAGAGAGAAGTGTCTGTGAGAGCCAGAGTCATCGATGACATATAGTTGTGAGCTGCCCAACATGGCTTCTGGGAAAGGAACTGAAAGAGTAGTATCCACTTTTAACTACTGAGCCATCTCTCTAGCCCTGCAAGTGAAGAAGTTTTTATATAAACTCATAATGAATTTTCTTTTTTAAAAATTACACATCTCTTGGTCATTCCAAATGGGTAAAAGGGGCTAGAATAATGCAGTAGTAATGAATAATCCACAGTGATAAGATTGTGAATTCTAAACAAACTTGCTACTTAAAATTAAGCAATAAATAAATAAATCCCAAGAAATGAAATAGATGTCCTAGGAAATTTCAGTACTATTTTTTGATAGGTAAAAGCTCAACCTAGAACAATCCTTTCATTGGTGTTTGGTTGACTGCTTTTTGTTCATTTGGGCTTGTTTTATTGTTGTTCTTTTGAGACAGGCTCTTACTCCCATCTAACCCAGGCCATCCTCAGACTATGTAATCCAGGCTACCTTACACCAAAATTTCTCCTGCCTCAGCCTCAAGAGTGCTGGGCTTGCAAACAGGCACTATGGTGTTTAGTTCTGGAACTAAACTAGGAAAAAAAAGCAACTTCAAAATCTCAAGAATCCATAGAAAAATGTTCCCACTGACCACAGGTAGGATAACTTGGAAATATTTAGTTAATATTTGAAATGGATGACAATACACCAGATATATTCAAATGCATAAATTCACTAATATTCTTTTCTTACTTGCACTATCCTTAATTATGGATGTGAGGGCTAGGGTGTGTGCACTTGAGTGCAAGTGTCCAAAGAAGCTGGCTTGGGATCCCCTAAGCTGGAATTACAGACAGTTGAAAGTTGCCTAATATGGAAGCTACAAACCAAATTTAGAGCATTATATACTCTTAACCCTGAGCCATCTCTCTAACTCCTCATTAATGATTCTTACACACACACACACACACACACACACACACACACACACACACACACACGCCGCATGCATAAATAGCCTTGCTTACTTCTGGGATGCTAAGGATCCATCTCGAGTTTTGGAAATCTGACAGGTGAAAGGAAAAATATCAAAAATGGATCCTACCTTTTTAAGATAAGCAAGGAGCTCATGAGAGGTCATTTCTCTTTATAGAAGTATTCTGCTAGAAAGTGAAGAAGGCATGATGGACGATCACCTCTTTCCAACCTCTGGGGAAATGATGAATCTGGTCAATGAGCACCAAAGGCTGCTGACATCACAAAGACAGATGGAAGCACACCCTACCATCTATAAAGCAGTCCTGCCAAAAAGTTAACTCTAAAGGGGACCAAGCTGCTGGAGTGAACTGCAAGCTTACAGAAAAGGGGAAAAAAAAAGAATGTGTTCAAACGTCCCCCAGAAAAGTACAATGAGTAACTAGACTGTAGGAAACTCTAGGATAAATCAGTAACAGCTAATTTCCAAGAGAAGAGAAATAGATGGCAGGACGCCTATAGATCAAAGGGAACTTAGGAGGCCCGTCAATCAGTGACAGCATGTGGGACTCACTTGGATGATAACACAGACAAACAGACTGGGAAAAGAGACTTGGAAAACAGGATAATTTTAACAGTAACTGGATACTTGGATAATATTGATAAATTACTGTTGTTTTTCATATAAAGCCTATTATTGTTAAGACATTTTAAAAATAGCTCCTACCTTATAGTGATGGCTACTGAAATATTTGTCGGCAAATGAAATAATTTCTGGAGTCTTCATTCAAATAACATGGAAAGGAGTAAGTGTGAGTCAATCAGCCACAAGTGGATGTGCGTGTGCTAACAATTTCTGCAGCTGGGTGATGGGTGGAGTCAGCTTATCACCTTTTCTTTTGCTTGGAATTCTCTGTAATGCATTAAAGAAAAGTCACAAGAATATTTAATGCAAATCCTTCCCAAATTCATTAAGTATTGTTTTACATCATGATCTACAATGGCTCCATAACAGCCCATCATGTGTCTGTGTACCACAAGGCATTTGATCATAAATTAATAGGTTAATATTTAAGATATTTCCAATAGGCCTGGACTTCTAACAACACTTATGAAATGGCTTTCTACAGTTCTCTGAGTCCTATGATTATTCCCTTTAACAACATAAATGCACACTGACAAACACAGAGTCTAGGTGAAAAGTGACTCTCAGCTGAGACCTTTCAGTGCATATAGCTAAATAATCTAGGAATGCTGTGTCCATATTCTTATATAAAAAATAAACAGGGAAAGTGACGGTCTTCTTGGTACTTTTTTTTTCTTGTTTTCTCATTGGATGAGCAAACCCAAAATAAAACAGAAATACAATGTCATTTTATCTCACATTTCATAGTCATTTGTGAGTTACATCCATAACATATATGTATAATATGTATATATGTATATTGTACAAAAAAGTACATTTTTTATAAATTAGCTTTTCATGTCCTTTGCCCTCTTTTCTTTTGAGGTATCTTTTCCCTTTTATTTTCATTATTTATTTAAATTATGTGTATGTTGCTGGGCAGTGGTGATGCACACTTTTAGTCCCAGTGCTCAGGAGGCAGAGGCAGAGGCAAGCAGATCTCTGAGTTCAAGGCCAGCCTGATCTACAGAGCAAGTTCCAGGACAGCCATGGCTACACAGAGAAACCCTGTCTAAATAAATAAGCAAGCAAACAAACAAATAAATGACATGCATTCCTGCATGTCTGTGTGTGGGTGTGTGCACATGCTTGGAGGTACCTGAGGAGGCCAGAAGAACTCCCCTGGAGCTGGAGTTACAGGTAGCTGTAAGACACTCTGTATGGGTTCTTGGACATGAACCCTAGCCCTCTATAGGAGCAGCTCAGGTTTCTAACTGCTGAGCCATTTATCCAGCCCCAAGATGTCTTTTTCCTATATGTCTGTATAACCTCACTGTCTATTAAGGATACTAACTCACATTTTCACATATGCTTCAAATACTTCACCAACCTTTTGTTCTTCTGACTTTTGAGTTAGACTTCAGTATACATGTATTTTTAATTTTCATAATTCTTTAAGATTTCTTCCATTTAATATGACATTTGAGGTCTTCCTTATTCACCCTCCCCCATTAGGTAAATTGTCACCTATGATTTCTCCTAGAATTTTTTACATTTTCAGTTTCACATAAAGTGTGGACATTTTTAGGGTCAGTAAAGGCACCTCTCAATAAGTTTGAGGTCCTCAGTTCAATTCCCAAAACCAATAAAGTGGAAGGAGAGAGCTAACAGAACTCCACAAGTTGTCCTTTGACCTCCACATGTGTACACATACACATAAATAATAAATAATCTTTAAAACTGTAAAGGAAGCAACTCCCTTCAGGTACTTCAACAAGTGATTGGAATGTCTGGCTTTTCTGAAGTGATCTAAAATCTTACCTTCTTCTAGGTTGCTTTGATTCACAATCAACAGACATGACAGTGACAATATAATTTACCTAGTCAACGTTTTGGGACAACTGCTGTGTGATTTACCTTATGTTATTTACCTGGGTTTTATTTCAGTGAATATTATCACAATTACTGTGATCTCTACGGTCAGCTTCATAAAGTATCACGTATATGTATGCTGAAATAGCATATAACTACGAAAAATAAGGATACACACACACACACACACACACACACACACTTCCAGATATATATACTGTAAACAAGAAAAGTATTTGGAATAGAATAGTGTTAGGTTCTATTACTGCATCCATAGGCTGTTAAGGCCTGAAAATATTGGATGGCAATATTTTCATCCAACAGGATCCATAAGGACCTCATGTGTGAATACTTGCCAAGTACCTGGCATGTATAGTGTGGTGACTCACACCATAAAGGCTCTGAAACTCGAGTGAAAGTCATACTTGAAGATTTCTGGTTTGCTCTATGTTCCCTTCTTGGTTATCTCTGCCACATATCCTGGACAATACACAGTTCTCAGAAAGGCCATAGACTTCTAGAGGAAGGGAATAGAGCTGGTTTAGTTTTGCAGAACACCAGCACCTGCCCCTGACCTACCTTGAGTGTGAAGGACATGTCTGTGCAGGTGACAAGAAAGCCTGTTAGGCCAGTGGCGAGATGAGGTGGGAGGAAAGCGGCAACGGAGGCCTTGGCTGAGCGGCACCCATTCTGGAGAGTATCACATGGGATCAAGCAGGCTGGAGAAACAGAAAAGCACTAGAATTCCTTTTGAAGAGATCCCTGGGAGGTGCTCTCAGAAAGAAAACATCAGGCCGGCAAGGTCAGCTGATGGAGCTCCACTGTGTAGTGATGGTAGGTGGGGGCGGGGAGGTGGCTACCCAGAGAGAATGCTTCTGCCACAAAATTTTGCCAGCTAGTCACCTTTGACCACGACAGATGCTGCTGCTTTCTGACCAGTGTTTCCCTGCTATCTGGGAGCAAATGTCAGTGGAAGGGCGCAATCTGACATCGGCATCATTACGTGCTCATCTAAATTGCAGCCCCGCTGCCCGAACTGCGTGCCCTCAAGGGCAGCTAGTATAGTGTTGGCATGGAAATAGAGTGAATTCATGGAAAATCCCCAGCTTTCACCAGGGGTACATACATGGAAGCTCATGGGTGTTCTGCTGTTCTGAACAACAGACGCTCATGTTCATTTATTCCCTTCACAAGTATTTCTTTAACACCTACTTAGTGCTAGGCATTGTGCTGAGTGCTAGGAAACACAACAGCAGCTAAGATATAGTGTGGTCATTCCACTCTTGGAACTTAATCTTGCATTTTGAAAGTAAAACACGTTCATAAACAAAGCAATTGCAACTCCAACTTGAGAGCTTTGCAATGAAGGAAATAAACGGGGTATTATCATGGAAAGTCATGTGCTAAGCTATTCTCAACAAGCTTAAATTAACCATACATTGTACTGCAAGCTCACTGCACTACTAATATCAATAATTCCACCCACCTAACCAATACAGTGTGGTGGTCAGATAGAATCTATATAAGCTGGACACTAGCTTTGGCATTTGTTAGAATAGTGACTTTCAGCAATTTACTTAATTTCTCTGTTTTATTTTTAAATTATAGTTACTTATTGCCTAAGTGTACATGCACACACATGTGCATGACATGTCAGGACCTGAGTATAGATATCTAAGGGTGCCATAGTTAGGGTTACTATTGCTGTGATTAAATGCCATGACTAAAAGCAACTTAGGGAGAAAGGAGTTTATTTGGCTTACATTTCCATATCACTGTGTATCCCTGAAGAAGTCATGGCAGGAACTCAAGGCAGGAACCTGGAGGCAAGAGCAGATTTGGAGGCCATAGAAGAGTGCAGCTTACTGGCTTGCTCCCCATGGCTTTTTTCAGCCTGCTTTCTTATAGAATCCAGAGCACTCAACCCAAGGGGATCACCACCTACAAGGGGCTGGGCTATCTCTCACTCATAGATCACTACTTAGGAAAGTGCTCTACAAGCTAGCCTACAGCCAGATCTGATGGAGGCATTTTCTCAATTGAGTTTCCCTCCTCTCAGATGACTCTAGCTGTGTCAAGTTGACATAATACTAGCCAGCACAAAAGACAATTTAGGAGAATTAGTTTGCCCCTTCTATGTGGGGCCCAGAGATCGAACTCAGGTAAAGCCCCTTTGTCTGCTGAACCATCTCACTAGCCCTTGCTTGACTTCCCTCTGTCTCCATTTTCTCCCCTTAGATGTGGAAATACGGACACTTGGCATGGTGCTACAATTGAAACAAGCTTCTCAGCACAGTGTTCAGGCCATGCTGGCTCTTGATATTAACATCCATTTCTTAATTCAGTGAAGGACTTTTTGCTAAGGATCTGTAAGTGCCAGATACACTGCTGAACGTTTAGGAGGAAGGAGCAGGGTGGAGGACAAGTGTCTGTGATATTTCTGAGCACAAGTGTTCCCCCTTACTTGCTAGCAGACAATATAAGTCATTGTTTATCCCCCAAATACCAGCCTCTCTTTCCCATCAGGCAGAAAGATAGTTCACAGGTTAGACAAACGATGGGCAGACAGCACAGAGCTTCCCTGAGTCAGCCTGCCAGAGAGGAGTCACTGCTTGACCTCTTGCCTTTTACAAATGTGGCTGAGCGTGGAAAGGCAAGGAGCCTGGTCTTCTGACATTAACTTTCCATCCTCAGGCTGCTGAGCCAGCAGCACACTGAGTTCAGTGACTTGCCCCCTGTCCCCTGATATCAAGAGGCTCCTACAGATGGCACATCCCGGAAGCTCCAGGCCACACCCCAGGACTTCCAGGAACTTCTCCTGCCTCCACGCCCCACAACTCACCCCGCTTGCCCACCTTTTAGCACACTTTTCAGTACTGCTTAGTCTTTGACCATTTCTGGGTGGTCCCCGTTCTTTGTGATAGGCTCCCCCTTGAGGTGGGTAAGGGATTGAGTGAATCAGCAGAGGGAAAGGTGAAAGGGCTCTGCTTAGGTGCTGTGTTACTGTTATTCAGGTTGGAGATCTGGACCCTCCCGCTAAACAAGAGGTAGGAACTCGGGCGTGGCAGCTGGAGGGGTTGTTCTACGGAGCTTTCTGCTTACACCAAGCTTTCCAACGCCTGGGGACATGGACTGGCCCTTTCCTTACCCTCTAATTGTGAAAGTTTGCTGGGGCTCACCAGTGGGTGTCTAAATCCTATGTAACCAGCTTGGTATTTGACCAAGTATCAGGCAGCAGGCAGCAGGCGGCAAGCATTGGCCTTCGGCCCTCGGCGACCCCTTGCCTGGAATACTCACATCTAGAAACCCTCCTGTAGTAACTGCTGGTCTCCAAACAGAAGTGTTTTTTTTTTTTTTTCAAATAAATATGTTTCCTAATTAAAACTTGCCCTTTAAAGACTCACATTTTCTTGGCCCCACTGTTTTCTTTTCCTTGTAACATATTACAGAATCAATAAGGGCAATGCAAATATCTTTAATGTATACAGCTCTGACGGCTCTAATAACGCATCTTCCTCCACAAAATCGCCCCCTCCCCTCTCCAGACCAGCTGATAAGTTCCCCTGGTTGGTTAAATGCCTTGGCATTTCACTCTGGATGAGGAAGTTTGGAAGGCACTTAGCTCTTCAGAAGTATGGGGAGGGCACCTTGAAAAGGGATAGAGTGGATGGGGAGGGCATCCAGTGGTGTGTGTGTGTTTTCCACGACAGTTCTTTATTTTTTATTATGAAAATAAGGAGCATTTATTATGCAAGTTAGAGAACATATAAAAATACAAAAAAGAAAATACCTGTTACTCATAATCCCACCAACCTGAGGCAATCATACCTAATATTTGACATATTTTTATTTTTTCTTTCCTTTCGTTCCCCAGATATTTTTACTAAAAGATTTTGAAGTATAATTATCAATTCTGGATCTTGTGCTAATTTTTTTTTTACATAATAACAATGATATTTTAATGGTATGAAAAATTAGATGAAATGTACTTTAAGAGTATATGTATAATATTATAACAAAGGCTGTTCCCATTTTCCTTTTCATACTTACCTTTTAGGTTGTTTTGATCTCTGTCGCCATCGTTATAAATGATGTGGGTCTCTTGTCAACGATATCCCAGCCTTTGGTGGAATACACGAGGTAGATCCTTTCTTTTAGTGTCATGTGTTTTCTGTGGCCCAACACACCCACACAGAAGCATGTGCAGTTAGCAACAGAGTTGGATTATCACATATGACAACAGACTTCATTCCCCCCCAAGACCTCTACTTCCTTTTGAACCCGCTCCCCCTGCTGCAAAGAGAGTAGTTCCATCCCCCACCAGCACAACAAAATTGCTAAACTGCTTGTGACTTTGGACTTCCAGCCCAACTCCATCTAGTCAGCCACTCAAACATGCTCACTGTACATTCCCAAGCTTTCAGATCACTCCTCATCTTTCTTCATGACAATTGCCTCAGTTTACCTAGATGACTTGCTTAGTCCTACCTTTTGTCTTCCCAAGCTATCACCATTCCTGTTTTTTCCCCCTACTGCCAAATCATCTTGTTTCAAATATATGTAAGAGCACATCCCTGCAGAGCTAAGAACCTTCCGTAGCTTTCTCGCATTCCCAGCAAGTGAACTCTGAGATCTTTGGATCTTTGGCTTCCTTCAGACCCCTCCATCATCCAAGCATGCCTGCTGCTCTAAACTTGATCCAGTAATGACCTACATGTTCAGTTATGCTTCCTTATGTGCCTCATGCATTTGCTCACGCCCTGTGTGGTTCCCTGACTAAGAAAGCAGCCCCTCTCCCTTCACACTCTAGCCTGCCTTGAGAAGCTAACCTTCCTGCAGGAAGCCTTCTCTTGCCCCCCTAAACTAGGATGGACATATTGGGCTTATCCTGTACCTTTCAGGCTGACACACCTACACTTGTGTCTCTTTTGAAAGGCAGGGATTGGCTTTGCTACTTCTTTTTTCTAGAACCTCTAAATATTTCAGCTGCCTATTCATTTAAATGGAAGATAGTCTCCTATATAACCACCCAAACTAGAAAGTAACGTGGGCATATTATTGTATAATATAAATTTTATTTAACTCTTGCCAATTCACCCAGTAATGCTCTATCCAGGATCACATGTCACATTTATTGTCATATCAACTAAGCTGTTTCTTTCTCTGAAACTACTCTGGAGTCCTCTTTCATGATTTTGCTGTTCTTGAATAGCATTCGGCACTTGTGTGGAGTTCTCAGTTTGGAGTTGTCTGACATGTCTCAATGATTAGATTCTGGTTGTTTATTTCTTGCAGACATACCACAGGAATGGCATTATATCCTTCATCATGCACTGTGTCAGGGGCACATAATGCCTGTTACTATCCCTATGATGCTGACTTTAATGTTTTGATGAAGGTGGATTCTGACAGAGTTTTCTGGTCTAAAGCTATTATTGCCTCCTTTGACATGATCTGAATCTTGTGGGGAGATACTTTGAAACTATGTGAATATCTTGTTTCTCATTAAACACCTACTGCTTTCAAAATCAGGGTCTGTTTTCTCATTGCTTGAAGAAGGTGCATAGTCTGAAGGTAATTTCCAAAGTTCTCACTTTCAGACATCCCTTGTTATACCCACCATGGACTTCATGTTTTAATAAGGTCTGAAAGTGCTACTGAAGAAATGGCACTTGCTCAGAGCCTATGTGTCTTTTTCCTCATGTATTTATTAGACATGTCTAGGACACCGATGTCCAGAAAGCAGGGACAGTTAGCTTCATACCTAAGCAGCCAGAGCCCATTACATACCTGCCACAGATTAGATGGTCAACAGGTACTTGTTGAAGGACATAATGTGACTGTCATTCATGATGGTAGTCAGCATTTGGTGTCTACAGCGAGGACACGTAGTTGATAAATGCCTTCCAAAGGCTTGACATTTTAGTTAGTCTCAAAGGCTTTGTCTCTGGTCAGTGTTCACTCATCATGAGGATTTTAAAAATAGATTGGAGTGACTATAAAGCAGTCTGCCCACACCATCCCCATTCTCGCCTTTCTGCATGCTAAAGTGGGAATATACTAAGCATCCAGCACCCCAAATTTATAAACCAGGGTGGCTTTGTAATCAACACAGGGTCTCTAGAACACATAGTAGCAGGTTGGTTGGTGTTTGTTTTTAAGAGCCTAACCTTGCTTTCACGTTAGTATGAAATCAACACTGTCGCCTATCCTTCCCAGAGCACTTTATAGAGAGCTAGCAGAAGATGGGAGAGGTGAAGAAAGCCAGTGCTGAGTACTTCCTGTGCACTCCAATGCTTTATGTCCATTGTTCTTTCCAGTGAGATGGTGATAACCTGTTTTACAGGTGAGCAAAGTGAGGCTGGGCGAGGGGAAATACTCTCAAGTCAAGTCCTGCAATAGTCAGTGTGAAGCAAGCTTCAGGTGGGAATCCCTTTAGTCTCTCTCCGGAAAGCCCCTGTGAGTTCAAGCTGTCTCTCTCTCCATCACAAACAAATGTCCTTGCTTTGGTAATATGCTGTCAATTACGATCCGGATTCAAGAGGGATCGGAATTTCTTGGACTATATTCACTACTGCCCCCCACCCCCACCCCCAGTGATTGCTATCATGACTCAGTAGCTGTTACCATGGTTTTGGGGAAGTTGTCCGAGGAAGGAAGGCCTTTCTTTAAGGCATCTTGCATGCCCAAGGAAGGAACCGTTAATTATCTCTGGCCAAGCAGCAGCTGCAACTGGCAAAGGCAAACCCCGGGAAGAGTTGGAGGTGTGGAAAAGCATTTCAGGGGGTTAGGCAAGGAGGGAGGCCAAGACCA